CTGACCCATGAAAGTGTTGCATCAATTACATCGCTCTTTCAGCAGAATCATTCACTGCTTTCAGTTTTGAAAGTTTCCACTTAAACGAAGAATTATTGACGATCATGTATTTACATATGACCGATACTGTTTATGTTTATATATAAATATGGTATGTGTATGTATATATTATAGGTGTAATGTGATTACTGTAGTTTTTTTTTTAACATGAATTGTATTTTTCGGTTTGTTGCACCGCTCTAATATGTTCTCTGTCCATACATGAATCATACTATACTAATTTAAATATTGACAGTCAAATCTGTCTGCAAATAGCTTCAAGAGACCGCTACCGCTGGCCCGCACCATGCGCAGCAGGAATGTGCACCTCTTGCGTATAATTGTATCAAAGCAATCCACCAGAGCATCAGCAAACATCCCTGATGCGCTACAGAAGCGAGGCAGCCCCAGCAGTAGCTATCCCATTATGATATTGGAGGCGTAACGCAGAATACTGCTTTAGCGTATAATCCGCCCATAAGCTACAGTTATAGAAAGATATACAAAATAAAGAGTGATTTTGACGTCCACCGAGCTACGAGCAAACCTATACGCGCAATCTTATTAGCCTTTACAGACAATCTACGCTCTCTCTCTAAGCCAGAATTGTCCTTCAGATCAGAGGTAACTAGATACCCCAGATACTTAAACTTATCTACACATTTTAAAATACACCCATTAAGTTTGATAGATGGGATGTTTTCACTCTTGTTAACATTATACAATAAGCCATGTTTGGCAGCATATTTCTCACAAATGTCGAATAGCTTAGATGAACCAAAATCGCAGGCACTCGACAGCACCATATCATCTGCATAGCTTATGTAATTAAGACAGACTCCGCTTATGTGGCAGTCAACATGAGTTCCGCTGCGCTCCTCTGCCAGGACATTGACGCACAGATTGAATAGTTTCGGAGAGGTCAGCCCTCCCTGCCTCACCCCGCACTCCAACCCTTATGGAATGGAATAGGCTCCCGCCCACCGAACAACGTTAATTTGGTTGCTATACCAATACTTGAAAAGACATATTAGTTCAACTGGCATTGACGTGTCATGTAATTTCTGCCATAAAATATCATAAGAAACCAGATCGAACGCCCTCGACAGGTTAAGGAAGCAAGCAAATACAGGTGTGTTTTTATCGGTGTAGTACTTGACAGTTTGCTTTAAATATAATATTGCTGCTTCAGTGGCTATTGCCACTGAAGCAGCCTGATTTAAAAACAAACGGGTTATCATGAATGCGTAAATATTTATCGAGCTGAGTATTAAGCAAACCGTCCAGCACCTTTAAAATAATAGTAGCTAGGGAAATAGGACGATAATTATTCTTATTACTAACATCTCCAGTTTTATTTTTGATGATCGGTACAACTACTGTCTTCAACATCTGAGCAGGAAGATAAGATTGCCCCACACATAAAGAAAAGAACATAGCTAAGATTATGCAAATAGCAAACCGCATATTTAAGATGTTCAATACTCAGGCTATCAAGACCAGGAGACCCCGCGACATAGTCGTTAAGGTTTCTTCGACATTTTTTTGCAGTAAAGCGCGTATTATCGTAATATACCGACCATCGCAACCAGCACGATCTTTCGACTGTGAAGATTCCGGAGGTGATTTCATTGTAAAGTGATCTCTAAATACTTCCGCTATGCCGATGTGCTTGTTAATACCATTAACACTTGCCGGAACGCCCGAGTTATTATTTAGTTTACTAGTAGATTTCCAGATATTCCTAAAATCATGCTTGGAGCGATGGACGCCAAAATATACATTTTGATCTGATCACTGAGATTTTGAGACCAACGTAACCGTGACTTAAAATTTTTACGGCTCGTCTGCATTCTCCAAACATGTCCCTCCTGCGGCCTTCCATGGAACACCCACAATTCAAAACATTGCCTAGCCTCCTAGTGTGCCTCGCTCACATGCCTATTTCATAACATAACCAGTTCTCTACCTTTATAAATTTTTAGAGAATTACTGTCACATGCTGCTCGACTTAATATATTAACAATATCATTATACATTTTATCGATAAAATATCTGCGGTGTAAATTATTACATTCATAATCACTACATTTGTTAAATTCAGTAGGAAAGTCAATTACCCAATTTACATATTTTGTTATACATATTTATTTGGTCAAGTCTCCTTTCTCCAAATCTTTTCTTATTACTATAATCACTTAGATTTGATTTAAATATTTTTGGTTTAATGCTGTCTAACTAACATTGAATAATCAGTGGAAAAGTATCAGACGATAATACATCGTACTTAACACTTACATTATCAACAGTCAGCATGGTGTAATTACTGACCAAAAAGTGGTCAAGCCATCTCCTCGCTCCATTTGCTTCATTAAGAAATGTTTAAGTATTAGATTCCAAACTCAAAGATTTGACATCCGCACACATCTAATCATATTCTAGACAAAAACTATCCAACTCATTATAAAATAATTCACCGGGATGTGAATTATAGTCCCCCAGTAAATTATTCGTGGGCATGTAAACACCAAATGCCATAAACGCCATTTTTCACGGTTATCTTAATGGCACACACTCGTGGGTTATCACATTGCACAACTGATACATCATTAAAAGCACTATTTCTCTACAAAATTGCATCTCGGGGCGCCCTCGAAACATACCTGTAGTGTCTGCCACTGACGTTCCAGTATATCCGAACTCATTATTTATACTGCTTAGAAATGGGATATCATATGGTAATAACCAAGTTTTTTGCTAAGCAATTATATACCTTTAATCGCGAATGGTATTATAACACATAATAATATTATTGCACCAGTCTTGCCACATAATAATATTACACCTTTTATAATCAATTATTTCTAAAAAGCACTAGCTGTTGTCCCAAGACTTCGCACGTGTAAATTATAGCCTATCTCAACTCCGTATGATGTTGCTACACGTAGGTGACAGAACCTATTCGATGAAAACAAACAAACAATTAAAACTCTCTTTAAAATATTATAAATAGCGCCGCGGACCACTTGGCTTCTATAGATTACCAGTGGTCCGCCGTTTACCGGTTTAGAACCACTGTTCTAGTACTTCAAGGATTGTATAATAACGGAAATTGAAGACGAACGAGCCGCCCGACCGCATGCCTGACTGCTGGTTGCACGCTACGTTGATAATCATTTGTTTCATTAATTTCCATTTATAGACCTTTCACATACGATTGCTTAGTTTTATACGAAAGGCAAAAAAAAATCATAAATTTCGCATTTCATGTTCTATATTACGTGACTTTTTTAAAGATCCATGACTAAAATACGTGGTTATTGGGACTTTAGGTTATTTGAAGATACCTATACATATAAAAGAAAATGTCTTCACGATCAAATATCACGGGTGACAATAGTTCGTTTGAAAATATTTCTGATTTAACGTGTGAAGGAGCGGTTGTATAATTAAAGTATTCTACTGTCATTAAATTTTGGAAACACTTAAAAAGCAGATTACAGCAGAATTACCATTTTTTATGAAAACAATTCTCAATAGAATAAAGATTCTTAAGTTACAATTCCTCAATTCAGAAGCCGGCCTTTAGTCTCTGACTCGATTTTCGTGTCGCTTGTTACTAGTATTTTGCACAACATGATCAAAGCACGCGACGTAAACACCGTGTAATCGATAAGAAAAAATATGATCGGGTTATCCCATTGGATACTCTCTTATTATTTTATGTTATCATTGTTTTTTACACGTTTCGAAGAACGTACTTTTGTGTCCATATTCCGACTCCAAACAAAGCTTTAGCCCACTATGAATTTTGACAAATTTATACTGTTTAAAGCGTTGCTTATTATAATAAAGGTTTCATTTAGATTTCCACATATATTAAGTAGGTTACTTAAACATCTTTAAATTGTAGGAAAGCTAATCAAATATACTAAAATTCTCATTATAGTCAGTTTTTATTGGATAGTGTATTGCCTTATTTACAACATAGTTCCTACAGAAACGAAAGTATACAGTAGATAGAGAGAGTGCGGAAAGTCTAAGCTGCATTACCACGCACGCGAGCAGTTGATATCTGGACAATAACAGTGTTAAACGTATCCGATAATAGGCCAAAAAAAAAGGTAAATAAAAAAAAGAAATCTAATTTAAATGTTATAGATAAAATAAATCATTCAAAATGAGAACGAAACAACAATTAACTTTTACGAAATTAGATAATGAGACAGGTGAAATATTAGACAAAATGTTCGAAAAAAAGGATAGTATGATCGAAGTGAACCCTGGTAAGGCGGTGCTACCGGCAGACTTTGTTTATATAGGACAAGATATCCTAGACATGGAAGTTCTCGAGGATGATGTTTGGATGTGTTCTTATCCTAGAACTGGTAAGCAGAACATTTGTGTAACTTATTATATTTTGATTAATTTTGCATTCACAATGCCATACTGAAAAATATTCTTAATACAAAATGCTTAAAAAATCCACTTGGTCCCTGGCACACTGAGATGGGAATTGAACCCACGACCTTTTGCAATCCGGGCGACTGGGACCAAGTTTTTTAAGCATTTTGTATTAAGAATATTTGTGTAACTTTATTAAATAGGTAGGTCCGGTACAGTAACAAAGATCTAGTACCTACCCATTAAATAATTCTAAATATTTCCAGTTTGTACCTTTTAATTCTAAAATTTGTACAAGCTGAATCCTTGAACATATTCGAGATAACAGATAATAAAACAATTTTCCAACCTCTATTTTCAACTCTTAAGGGTTGAATTTTTAAATTCCTAAATGTACTTAGTTAATCTGTGTAAGATATAAGTGTAGCTAATATTTATAATATAAACACTGATTATGTACTTACTTTAATCGCAATAGTAAATCGCAGTGCGACTAGTTTATAAGTTTTGGAATCTATTTACTCATACACTGTCTTTGCACATCTTTGTCTGATAGTGATTTTTTTATATTATTAGGATGCCGATATTAAAACACCAAATAAGTTTGTATTCGGAGTAGTGTAGGTAGTATATTTGATATTCTATTTATATTTCTAATAGGATCAACGTGGTGCCAGGAAATGGTATGGCTAATTGGCCATGATTTGGACTACGAAGGTGCCAAGTCTCTGCAGCAAGTATGTATGAACAATAAGATAAAAAACAAAAACAAGCTAGAAAAGTAATTTTTAATAACCATACCGACAGTTTATAACTTCAATAATATTCATTTGAAATCAGGTGGTTCTTTATCAGCTAATCCTTGCCCGAATTCGAAAAAAGTGTCTTGACACCCTTTAAGATTTGAATTTGTTCCTTTGGGGAGTTTGAAAGCGCAGTGGTTAGCGCGTTCGGTCTTGGATGTGGTTATTAAGTAACTTTTATAATGGTCGGTCATAGGATGGACGACCAAAAAATTATTATCTCGAGCTCCATGCTAGGAAACCACGTCAAGCCGTTGGTCCTGGCTGTATCGCTTGTCGTTAACATTCACCCATGGTGGTGGCCCATTTTCCCTATTTATTTCCATCCATAGGGAAGGTATGGTATGCCCCAGTATGGAAGTTAATAGGCTGATGGAGATGATGTTTTTCTCATGATTCAGATCCGTTGTCCTCTCGTCGAGCTGTCCAGCATCATGAAGCAGGGGCACGCGGAGTGGCACAACGAATCAGTGAAAAGTACTTCAGTAGAGCTGGTGAAGTACCGACTGCCTCATCCTCGGTACGTGCGCAGCCACCTCCCTTGGGAGCTTTTGCCTTCAGATATCGAAAAAGAAGATGGGACTGCCAAAGCGAAGGTTTGTCGAGACCATGAAGCTATTTTAAAACATGAAAACCTAAGTAAGGTATTCTGAGCGTGAACGGAGAACGTAAACGACAAAAAAGTTATACTAAAAACATGGATAATTTTCTAACCAAGACTTGACTGTTGTGTCAATTAAAATCTAAAAGATGTAATGACCATGTTATTCTGTGTTTTTATTTTGCTTGCAATTTAGTATGGCAAGCAAAAACTAGTTTTCATTAACGTGAGATAATAACTAACTTGACGGCATCACTGTTGTTTCAAGTTCGACTACCTTTAGATTTCTTTGTTGGTTTGAATATTTACTTAAACATTTATGTTTAGTTTTTACAGCTTATCTTCATTAATTAAACATTTATGTCTATCCCCAGGTGATTTATACATCGCGCAACCCTAAGGATATGGTAGTGTCTTACTATAACTACTGCACCCTAGTTCATGGACTGAAGGGTGACTTTGAGGAGTTTTGTGATATGTTCATGAAGGATAAACTGCCATTCGGACCGGTCTGGCGCCATATACTTGGTAAATTTATTACTTTCAATGAAAGCTCGTAAAGCTCTTAACTATATTAAATATCTAAATTAAGCAATTAAAGTTTAGCAATATAAATATATAGAAGCAGGCATTAATAATTTTTCAAAATCCCTAATATAAGGGAAGATCAAATTTAGATCTTTGGAGAAAATAAGAATATCCTGAATGTTCTTTCTTCCATGGAATTTGCACAGGTCAGGTTTTGTATTCTATGTAAGTTCATACTCTACACTGCTCTAACTTATGTATTTTTAATGTATTAGATATGGTAGAGCGTCAATGTTCACGATAGCATATATCTGTCCGTCGTTAGCATATATTTTATGTTATGTTTTCATTGTATCCGTAAATCTGATTAATAACTTCCAGGTTTCTGGAAACGACGCCACGATCCAAACGTGTTGTTTATCAAGTTCGAGGACATGAAACATGACTTGCCATCTGTGGTCAGGAAAACAGCCAAATTTCTTGACAAAGCGATAACGGATGAAGAAGTTGATGAACTCTGCGATCACTTGTCATTCAACAACATGAAGAATAACAGAGCTGTCAACCTTCAACCTATATTGGAACGTACTTTTGGTAAATCTTATTTGGAACAAACAGATTTAAGATTTATAAGGAAGGGAGAGATCGGCGATTGGAAGAATTTCATGTCCGACGATTTGTCCAGAAAGTTCGATCAATGGGCTCAGAAAAATTTAGAAGGTTCCGATTTGAGTTTTGTATGATTCTTCTACGGTGATGGTGCTATTTTTATCTTATTAAATAAATATATTTTAAGACTACACTTTTTACGATTCATTGACATTTATTAATAGGTACGTTGATTTGTAATAATTGTTAACAATAAATAAACAGTTATATTTAATCTTGTTTTAATAACTACATGAAACAACTTCATTATTTACAAGGTTCATGGCTGGGGCCATGGCCCCTCCTTCTAGGAAACATCCCAGGCTACGCCAATGAAACTTAATGTAATAAAGGATGAGGGTCCTAGGGACTTTTGCCGGCCCTACAAAATATTTAATGTCGGATTGATCACGTCATTGAATTTTTTGTTTTAAATATGTCAGAACATATAAAGTTTATGTTTTCATTAATATTTTTCATCCTATTTTAATACTTGTTTGTTCTTTAAACAAGTATTAAAATAGGATGAAATTTGAAATTGGTCCATAAACTTATTTGTCATAGGTTTATACGTAAAACAACCGTTTGAATGTTATTTCACTTTGACTGTATAGTTATAAGAAGACTGCATGATACACATCACCAAGATTATATTAGCGTCCAAGTGTAAAGTGTAGTAGCGTCCTCCTTTCGTTTATAAATACTACATAGACATAGAAGCAGGGTTGTCACCTTTGAAACAAAATTCGGTACATTCGGACAATCATCATCAGAAGAATAATTTAATGTAGGTCATCATTATCATCGAAAAGACTTTGTATCGAGATATCTAAGTACTTATCTCAATACAAAAAAAGTTGTACACTGACATACAATATTTCATATTATCAAAAATATTAACAATATTTTAGAGGTACCGTGAAAATGTATTGTCAATGTACAATACATTCTAGTATTTATCACGACACTAGTATAGCAACCGTATGCCGTAAAAAATGTAACATTCGCATCTAAAAACCGAAGATAACTAAAGAAATAACACCGCGAACGCATGATGACTGACGTGCGTAGGTATACCCTGAATATCGAAGGCGCGAATGGAGCATTTGTCGTATGTTCTATAAAATATAAGAAATCGCGATGCGGGCAACACCATTTAAATAGGGATTGTCTTGGAAAATTCGGCACGTGTGGCAACCCTGTCTAGAAGTGACAGTACAACAAAACTTGATAACTCATTTTTATTTAAAGTATTGAGTTACGATAATGTTATTGCAAACTTGCCCCCGTGTTTCACCCCACAAAGGATAGTAAATCGGGAAATTCTATCTTAACGGATCATTACGATGTATTAAAGACATATCCTACTACATTTAGGCCTCTACGATCAGTGGCTTAGGCTGTATGTTGATGAGTAAATCAGTAATTCAGGACAAAGCATTATTAATAATCAGTTCACTTAGCAAATAAAAGACCAATAAACTTTTAATAGTAAACAAAAATTAGTTTATTGATTTTTTTAAAGTAATCATAGAAAATAACTCATTTTTTTATGGTATCTATCAAAAATAAAATAACTATCTAGTGTATCACTGTTTTCACAGATGACCATTAAATATTCATTTATTAATATTAATTAAAGTCAGTTTACTTAATTGATCAGGTCTCATAAAATTAAATATAATTACATAAATCGATCACTTTTGTAACTTACGTATTTCAGCACTGGTCTTCATTTTTACATGATGATGATATTATTTTGCCCATTTAATGAAAATATTTCGAATCGATTTCTGTGAACATTCCTCTTTTTATGGTCTCCAAATCCCAACAAATTCACCAAGTTTTGTATAACTTTTAATTAAATGAAAAAACGGTCGGAAACTGGGAGCTCTAAAAGCTCAACATCTAATTTCCGACCAGCATAACTGTGTATTATAATCAGTTTACATAGAAAAATACTGGACGAAAACTGACTATTGATTAATAATAGTCACTAGAAGTCGCATCATGAAATTAGATTTTTGAAAGTTCCATATATTTTACAGATAGAAAAGAATTCTTAATTGGATGTGCCTCCCCACTTTTCGACCACTTGGTCGAAAACTGAATGATCCAATTAAAGATAGTCCTTTTATTCGATCAACTCATTTTAATAGTTTGGTAAAGAAATTTACGTTAAAACCTAATGTCTCCACACAATAGAGGTCAGAAACTGGCTGCAAATACAATAAATAAACCAAAATGACTTAAGAATAATTAGAAACTCACCTTTAAAATAGTGTGATGCTGTCCGCTGCAACTCTTTCATTTAGTAGTTGGTTTTGGATTAAAGCTTCGTTTAATCGTACTAATGTGCGTATATTAGGGTAATCAGTATATCCAGGTTGAAATGTGTTTAAGTTTTGGACAACATTACTGTTTTTGATCTTTTTACAAAGGAGGACCGTTAAATGGTTGAAAATGAGAGGTGGGCGGGAAACATGCGCATCGACCCAACTAATAATCTTAACATTGCGGGTTTTTCTGATTTTATGTAATATACCAATGGCGGAGTCCCTTCCAGTTTAATAGGGGTGCAGACAGCTTCTTTTATATTTTTATTTTATAGATGTACATGAAATATAACTAAAAGAAAATATTTAAAAAATATTCTTTTAATAAGGTAAAATCTAAAAATAATTTTAATATTCAAAATTTCCCGCGAAAAGGCCATTTCTGTCATGGCGTCGCTATGACGTCCCGGAACTCTGCAACGAATATCATTCTATGTATAATTCCCTCAAATTACTAACGCCATTTTGATGAAGTATTGTGTTAAAAAATTCTTAATAAAAAATGCTTACTAAAACCATCTTAGAGTGCCAGGACAAAGTGGATTTTTTAAGCATTAAAAATATAATTTATTTTTTGTTCGACTATTTTAACCATTGAAGCGTAACCATCTTAAATTATTTTACTTTCTATATACATCATCAACCATATAGTAGGTATTTTGTAGAAAAGTAAAATAAGACACATGATCAGTTTGCATTTTTTATTGTATTTTTCACAAATAGTGAGATTCAAAACTTTGGCATTCAATCAGCTTCAAAGTTACAAGCGTAGCTAATTTGAGTATAGTTCGTTTTGGGAATTTCACTTATCCCAGAGTAGATCAGAGAACTTTTGAACTGTTGCCTTCTTGAAAGTTTATAAGTTTAACAGTGATAATAGATAGATAGCTTTAGTCTTCTAAATATAGATTATTTGATTATACAGGTTTAAAAACAATAATATTTTGAAATTTTACTGTATCTCAATTAAAACTGTCTTAAAGGGTTACGAACTGATACTCAATAATATAATTTTCATCAATATATTTTTTTTGAGAATTTTAATTAAAATTATAGTTCTTGTCTTGGTGCAATAATTCTTTAAAATAATATCAATGTAGGTATTCAACATCATCTAATATAACAGATTTTTAAAAGGACCTATCGCAACAGTAAATATATAACATACTAGTGGACGCCCGCGACTTCGTCCGCGTGGAAGTCGGTATCCCGTGGGAGTGAGAAGTTTTCCCAGTAAAAAGTACCCTATGTGTTATTCTGATGTATAACCTATATTGCTGTAAAGTTTTATCCAAATCCGTCCAGTAGTTTTTTCGTGAAAGAGTAACAAACATCCATACATCCATACTTACAAACTTTCGCCTTTATAATATTAATAGGATTTGACGAGAATCATAAATCATTCCTTTATGACGAGAAGATAAAGGAATGATTTATGTTCGGCAACCAAGACGTCATGTTACCACAAAGTGGCAAATTTACCCTTGACGTATAATGTTATGAATGAATGAAAATTCTTTATTGTACACCAATGGACAAAAACAAATATATGGATACAATAAATGTGAATTCACAATTGGCGGCCTTATTACTAAAAAGTAATTTATTCCAGGAAACCTTGTTTTAAAATTAAGTGGGAAATGTTTTAAAATTAAGTGGGAAAACAGTTTTGCTATAATTACTGTCGACCAAGTTATAATTGGTGTAGCACGTGTATCGAATGTTATACAACTTTCATAAAAATCTAAATAATCTTTTAAGATCTCTTCACTAAAAATGTTTTACTAAAGTAATTAGTCGTAAAATTACTACATTTAACAATTATTAGTTTGAACACGTCTTATATTTTTAACAGTCACATTGTATTTTGTGAAGGATCAAAAGATTATTAGATTCTTGTCAAAATTATCAATAGATTTATAATTTATAGAAATTTTAAGTACTTACCTATGTCTTGAAAAGCCTGGTAATATGAACAATAAAGATATTAAATATTCGCGTAACATTCACATCGGTGTAAACAAAAAAAAAATTAAGTACATATTATCAAAATGAAAAAAATCTCAAAAAGACTAGATAAAAAAATATTAATTGACTCACAACATTCAGCTAAACTATAAGCTATTGTTCACATTTTATCCAAAGCTGATACTATTGTTATCGAATAGGGCTTTTAGGATAAACATTTTTTTTAAATCACACCACAATTGATGGATACTTGCAGGAAATACAGCAACCTCAAGAATAATGAAGGGTTAGTAAGAAGATTTGGATGGAATATCTGTAGAGCCAATTAGTTTTAAAAGCAAAATTGTTTGCCAGGAAAGGAATCGAACCCTAATTTTGCTTTTAGGTATTACATACATAAAGTGCTTGTTATTGCATAGATTATAAATAAAAAATTTAAACAGAATATAAGATACTGATAAATTATGTTAATTTAATATTTTTGATACAACTATTTTACCGTGAAATATAATTAATCACATATTACAATAGGAAAGGACCCCGCCCTTGCCTTATGGAAATTGGCTTTCTGTCAAATCGGATGAAACTATGATGAATGGATAGAGGAAGTCTTCCTGAGTAAAAGTCCTCATGGGCACTAAGCCCGAAAATCGAAACTTTTAGTACTTTTGGGCATTCGAAGTTTTTGATTTTGGATTCTAGCAAAATCAATAAATCCTTGTAGGGCCAACAAATAAGCATGGCTCGAGTGTTTGTCATTCAAAAGGCCATGAACACGCTTTTTAAAGAACTTTTTCGCGAAAAACAGCTCTTTCCTCCGCCCCCGCGTGTGGTGGGTGGGTGAGTAGGTGGGGGGTCAATCGGGCACGGCTCAAGTGTTCCGTCAATCATGAGGCCATTATAACATTATAAAAGAACTTTTTCGCAAAAAACCGCTCCCCTTCCACCCCCGTAGGTGGGGGGGGGGGGGGGGGTCAAATAGGGTGTCGTTCGAAAGGTCTTGAAAAAATATTCGATACGTATTTTTTCTTTTATGTCTAATTGAACTTTGGGCCGATTCTACAAGGATTTATTGATTTTGCTAGAATCCAAAATCAAAAACTTCGAATGCCCAAAAGTACTAAAAGTTTCGATTTTCGGGCTTAGTGCCCATGAGGACTTTTACTCAGGAAGACTTCCTCTATCCATTCATCATAGTTTCATCCGATTTGACAGAAAGCCAATTTCCATAAGGCAAGGGCGGGGTCCTTTTGAGTTAGACATAAAAATTAGTCTTAGCCACTTTTTGTTTATTTTCAAAGAGTAAAACATCAAAAGTATCATCAATGGATAGTGCCACATATTAAAAAAAATATATTTACTTAAAAATATTTTCCCCTTAACCTAAATAATCTTAATATAATTATTCGAAACCCTTTTTTGCATTCATAATGCTACCTTAACATTAAACATCAAATAATCCTTTAAAGTGATATACTTATTATTTATATTAATTTGTTTAAAAAAATATTATTATGATAAAGGTGCCACTACGTAGCAGTTTATAATCTATATTATCGTGGGTTAACGTCAAAAAATCTCTTAATTCAAAAAAAGTAAAAATCGCGTACCGAGATTCCGTATAAAAGTAATACCATACGTCACGGTAATCAAAACTCAGTATTTCTCCCGCTTTTTCGCTGAGTATGTTTTAGTTTTCTTCCAACAGCGTATAATTACAATATTAGCCTTATATTCACGAAAGTTTCAATAATAAACCTTTCTGTATCGAACATTATAGACTTACCAACACATAATTAAGTTTACTTTTTTGTGATGATTTTCGGTTTACCTACTCGATACGCTAAAATAAGTTATTAATTAAGAAGTACTTAATTTAAAAATATAAACAGTTCGTTATCTTATTTTTTCGTAATATCTCACGATTATAAAAAAATAACAATAAATAAAACTTATTAAATATATTAACATCGTAGTTAAAAGTAAATGTCGACAATCTATTGCCATACAAACATTATGATTTGTGATAGTTTATTTTAATAAACGTTCTAGCAAATGCTGTTATACAGCCCAAATATTACTATTTTGAAATATATTTAATTCTTTTCTATTGTCTTCACGTAAAGCTCTTATTGAGTTGCTAAAGATTGATGTAATTATTATTTTATTCATTGGAATTATTCTTTGGGATGTATATTTACTGAGATCTACAGTTACATTACTTAAAAGGAATAACATTAATATAAAAATGTATGATATAATAAATATACTAATGTATGTATACAATAAAATATATATAAAATTATTTCATTCGTCGCACGTTTAAGTACTAAGTGTAGACTAGATAATTTTTTTATCGTGATTTATTTTAATATTTTCCTTCGTAACAATTATAAAAATAATATTACTGACAAATATATTAATGTAGTTTGCATGGTAAATAACCAAATTCATTGACTACAGATTCGTTTAAATGTACCTTTTAACAAGTTAATAATTTTATTGTATAAATTGATTTTTATACAACATAACAATAGCTGATTCACTATAGATTATAATAATTCTTATCTATGTAAGTACATCAAAAAATAAAATATCACTTTATCGATGATTATGTCGTGATGATGGTTATTACTTTTTACTATCTATAAAAGATTTTCGTTTGATAAAATAACTTAAAGCTTTTTAATTTCCTACAAATATCTTAGTTAATTTCTCAACAAATAAGACCTCTTCTCACTTCTCTCTATTTTAAGGATTACGCATGACGCCGCAGCCAGAATGCTTTCTTTTTTTTTATTAGTTACTTCAGCACTAGTATTAAACCTCTTTACTGTTTCTATATGTGTATTTAAACGAGACTGCAACTGGAATTGCTGGATTTATGTCTAACATGGGGATTACCAAACGCGCCACAACACTGGTGGTGATTCACGTTTTTCGTATGATGATGCCCATGGGGCTGAACGTTGCTTTGTACCGACTGACACTTTTCCTTGACAGAATCTTTTTGAGGTTGTTTCTGACAAGATTTCTGGTTGCCGGGTGCTATTTTTGCTTTAAAACGTCCAACTTTACCCTGCTTTATTTGTGCATTGTCGACAGTGTCTGATATGGTACATACGTGTGGCTGTTTTATAATATTTATTTGGCCATCTTCATATTCCACATCCGTCTCTGAAAAGATAAATAAATTTACTTTAGTAAACCAATAACACAATTAAAATTTAATTTATTCGTACCGATTGTGTTAGAATTTGTCGATTGTTATTAATGAAAAATATTTAAAAAATCCACTTTGTCCCTGGCACTCAGAGATGGTATTCAAACCCATGATCTTTCGCAATCGGGCGACTGCTCAAACCACTGAGCTACCCAGGACCTACAAGACTGACAATTTTTTCAAGCACTTGTTACCCCTTTTTTCACTACTATAGAGCGTATTTTCATCATTGTTGAGGCAATTTTCCCAAACAGCCGAAACAAATATTTTTACAAATATTTTAAACTTTCGATAGACATAGGATAGGAGTGCAATAACATGAATGTATTTTCTACAATAATCTAAATTTACAAGATCCTGCTCCGCTCGAGGTAAGTTAGCGCGGGGTGAGATAAATGACTGGCAGAGTATGCTAAAAGAAATAAGTCCGTCTTTGTACTGTTGTACTTAAAGCAATAATGAAACAAGATGGATGTATAATATATACCTTGTTCTTCGCCACACTGATGTGGATTAGTTGAAGCGGTGTCAGATCGTAGCGTGGTACAAGATTCGTCGACCAATGGCGGCGCGGAGTGAGCCGGTGACATACGAGCCAGGCACTGTGAATTTAAAGTAGGAATTACTCGAGGTATGGCATGAAGCTATCATATATAATATTATCATCTAATCCCCTGCGTGGAAATATCGACAGCTAAACCAAAAAAATACAGTAAGCGTAATAAACATTAACCCTTATTATATCGGTTTCATGAAATTCAAGCAACAGTGATCCTTAATCCGTTTAATTTGCTGATAATTAAAGTGAAATGTATTTTATAAATATAACTTCATATAAGGTTCGAGTATTTTATTCGTTTAGGTTAATGATGCATCTGCTTAATATAAAATAAATTAAATATAATTATAAAGGTACGGTCGGCCAAGAAAATGGTCTACCAGTTTTGACAACATTTCCCGTGTCTTTAAAGCATCGCTAAAGGCGAATCTTAGAATTGCATACAAACAATAAAAGAGATGCACAATGCTGACGTGTTGTCGTAGAGCACAAATGTTATTTTGACCTTTGCAGCCTATGCATTAGATAATAATTTGCAACAACAAATAGTCTTCACAATATTTCATAAATTTAAAATTTAAGTAGGTCACTTCAAAGTGGAAACTATTTTGTTACGAAAACTCTTTTACTGAAAAAGAATATATCACTTGACAATTCATGTCAAATATTTTCTCGGCATTTTCCGTAGGTATTTTCCTAATTAATTTACACTACAATGCCCCGAAATTTATCCATTAACGAAAAAGCACAAATAATCGCATTACACAATGATGGTTTGAATATTAGTGAGATTTCTAGAGAATTAAATGTGTCGGTAAGTATTATTATGTCTGACGTGAGTTTAATGTAAAATCTCAGACCAAGTCCGAGTGTAAAAAAAATGTTTTATTTTTTCTGTTCATATTTTATTTTTGATTATAGAGACAAGCTGTCCGTCTTTGGATAAGACGAGAAAGCGAGGAGGGGAATTTGAACGCTCGGAGTCGTAGCGGTCGTAGACCTGAAATATCAGATACTCAGCGAGTCTTCATGAGACGGAGTTATGAGGAATCTGGCTTTATATCAACGCGTTATTTTGCCGACATATTTGACGTGACTCTCGAAACCATTAGAAACCATTTACATTACATGGGCTTATATCACAGGCGTTATGCAAAGAAAATTTATATGACTGACGCTCTTAGAATGGCCAGATTAAATTTCGCCATAGAATATTTGGACTTTGATTGGAGTAACACTGTTTTCTGTGACGAGAAAACTTTTAAATCCAGTCAACACGGGCGTCTACACCTTTGGCGATTCAATAAAACACGATACACGCAAAATCATGTCGTGCCAAATAGAGAATCGGGTCGTATCTCGGTAAAATTTGTATGGATGGATGACTGCTGATGGTGTTGGAGACTTGACCTTTTTGCCACCACGAGCAACGGCATCAGATTATGTTGATGTTCTCCAAAATGCTATGTTGCCATCCGTCCGGAACGTTTATCCAGAAAATGAAATGCGTCAATTTAATTATTTACAGGATAACTGTCCCTTACATAAAGCAAGGGTAACACGTGCTTGGTTTGATGCACATCCGGAAATAAACTTGATACCATGGCCTGCAAAATCGCCAGATCGCAACCCTATTGAAAATATGTGGGGTCTTATGGTTCAGAGATAGTGTAACCGTAATGAACGAACAGCAGAAGCACTACAAGGGCACTGCAATGAGGTTTGGGAGGAAACACGTGGGTCTGATATCTGCTCAAGACTGGTGTGCTCGATGAGGGAACGTCTCCAAGCTGTTATAGAAGCAGATGGCGGCTACACAAGATTTTAAGAATTATAATTTTATAAAAGAATTGTATATATTTTTTAACAACCAAAGAATCAGCATTTTCACTATCTCTTCTAGTTTTAGCCCTTGTCTCGCACTAAGCTATAGGTCGGCGCAATATGTTTTTCGTTGCTATTCATTTCAGTTATCCGTTATCTCAGAATATTCAGACCTATAACACGCATAGCTTCTTACGCATAGCATTTCACTACCTACTGATTTTTTTTATTTGTATTAAAATATAATTAATCTACATTCTAATGTAGGATATTTGTAGACTATAAGACATTATTTACAATTTCTAACTCTAAAGTATTTAAACATACAAACAGACAGACAGAAAAAAAAATATTTTTGGCTTCTATTAGTCTTATGAAGGCCGTCCATATATTTTTTTTCCAAAATATCTTACAATAGTTTGTAAGATATTTTTTTTCCAAAATATCTTACAAATGTTTGTAAGATATTTTTTTTTATTTTTGGAACCTTGTTACATTTTTATTATAGGTATAGATAATTACTGTCAAAGGTTACGTCAAAATGATGAAGATAGCAATAATGACGTGTACTTGACGTGTCAAAAAATTAATGCTACGGAAAATCAACCTTGTTGTTAGTTGACGTAACACGCGAAATTCAACCTTAGGGTGGTAGACCACTTTCTTGGCCGACTGTACATAGGATATTAAGAGCCCCATGTTGGGCGCCATAAAATATGTAAGTAATAATATAAAAATCATCATAAAAAAATTGCAACATACTACTTTTTCGACGAAACTGTCTTGTTGTCGCTCTTTCGATGGAGGCGCTGTTCCCACTCTGAATGGTGATGTTGCACTGTAACTAAATTTGAATACAGTATAAAAATTACTTACTTTACAACAACAATATTACACAAATATTTTTTGTATTGCTTTTTTAGATAATTTGAAAAAAAAAATTGAAATATACCAATAAGTTGAATCAAGGCTGTCAGTAGTTTTTGGTTGGTCTACAGATTCTGCATCAGTCCAAATCACACCAAAACTTGTTGAATTTGATCTAGAGTCTGTAAATAATAAGAAAGTAGTTTCAACTATAAATTAATCATTAAGCGAATTAGAGTACTATAATCTTTGAATTTCCACTTCTCTTTAATTCTCAATTCTAAATTTAATTGGCAACACTATCGTTGCATTCGAATATCTAATTAAAAAATTACCTTCAAACAGTCCCTTTTCCTTTTCTGTTCTGTTGGGTGAATTTGCTATACTTCTACGTGCGACATCTTGAAACGTTACAGGTGAATACATTCGTCTCTCTTCAGCTGGTGACGTCACTGTTGGTGCTGGAGTGTTGGCTCTTTGCCTCTGAGGACTTTTGACGACATTGCTCTGTGAAACTAATATGCTGTTGCAATTGTTCTGCAAAGAGTTCGGCCCAGAGTTGATGGCGTTAGGAAGGTGCTGGAAAGTATTAGAAATACATTCTTTGTTGTTCATTTGCGCCGCTGAATGCTCAGCGATACTATCTCTGACGTCGGCAGCACGTTCCCATTCGAGTTCTGTTCCTGGTTGAAGTTGGGGCGATATGACTTTGGTGAGAGATGGTCGAGACTCTCTCCCATCCAACCAGTAAGTTTTCATTGCACCTAAAAGACAGAAAATGGAAATAATAACATAAAATCTGTCTAATGTTGATAAAATGAGAATAGCAATAACAAACTGGTAATTTGAAATTCCATGCATATTAGTAGCCGCTGTATTTTGTATTTTATTAATTGGTAGTTAGTAATTAATTCACCAACATTTGGTTAAAATAGGAACGTTCTAAGATGATTTATTTTAAAGTATGTATGTATACCTTTTCCCTTTACTTGTATTTCACCCCTTTCCGTGACCATATATGTGGGTGAAAGAAGTTCCCTAGTGGTTTGTGATATGTGAATTCTCATTGCTTCTGAGGTAGATTCCATTCTTGAAGCAGTGTTCACTGAATCCCCGAAGAGACAATAACGGGGCATTTTGAGCCCCACTATACCGGCCACTACTGCGCCAGAGTGGACTCCTACTCTGATTGACAAATGAGATCCTAGAAAATAAAAGAAATCACATAAAATTAATGTATGTACGTATTTCTAGGTATAGCTGATAAAGTCTAAGAACACTGACGATAAACAATGCTTTCAAAAACATGAGGTTGTCACTTAAGACCACGGTCGCGCTGTCTGATACATCCGATACATGCTGAGTGGTTGCCTTTTCAGTGTTATCTAATGCATGATTATAGTTAGTAATTTGCTTTCGTGTTTTTGTTTTCTTCTATGTACATTAATGACGTAGTTGTCACTGAATACATTAATAACTATTTTTTTACCTGTACTAGGATCTTTAAGATCTGTGATTGCATCCACCATATCTAGCGCCATGTCACAAACTTTTTCAGCGTGGTTGTCTTCTTTCTCTGGAGCCCCAGATACGACCATATAAGCGTCTCCTATCGTTTCCACCTATAATGATATTCGAAACATTTTACTATAATTAAAATTGTGCTAGAAAAACTCCATAAATTAAGTCATTTGATTAAAATATTAGATTTACCTTGTATACCCTGTTGCGTTCCGTGAGTGTATCGAATATAGAGTACATAGCATTCAACATGGATACTACTTCCATGGGAGTGATGCGTGAGCAGATTTCTGTGAAGGTCACTACGTCGGAGAATAAAATTGAGACACTGTCGAACATCTGTAATGTTTTAATAAAAGCGGTGGCATCATATTATTAGATAAAGTGTTATAAAGTGTTTTGACTATTTTAAGATCGTAAGTTGTTGAAATTAACCATTTAGGTCAAGGGAAGGAAAGGCTAGATTAATTTGCGACGTCGTTTCTTCGAAATCTACAACAAGCTACGTTAAATTCACAACACGACATCCCATCGATATTACAAAATAAAATATCTTGACTTAATTGGTAGTGCTAATATTGAGTGATCTACGTAATTGTACTTATAAACAATTTTTATTTCACATTAAATCCGGAATAGCGTTGACTTATTATAGAACTAGTATAAATAATTTTCTTACGGAATTGCCTTTTCTTTATTTAACTTCCTTTATAAAGGATGTAGAAAACTTTATGGAAATGAATGTATACACGGCTGCACGTCAGGTTACCACATTACGTAAAATTTCAGCAACGGATTTTGACCTCTACGTTGAATGTTTCAAGGTTTAAAATCAACTGGGAAATGATGAGAGTTTTGTGTAGTCTGATGAGCTGTACTATACCTCGCAGGTGTCGATGGGGTTCTCCCCATTTCTTAGACGATCAGCTACTTGTTTCGGTATCATCTGATATAGAAGTTCATCCGTTCTCTTCATCTCTTCGTCAAGTTTCCTCATAGATTCTTCCAGTTTTTTACTTTTCTGTTGTTCCTGATCCAATGCTAGCTTTAGTTCCACAGACTGCTGAGTACCGGCTAACATCAAATCTCTAAAATGAAAAAAAAAGCGATTCGTAATATAATAAGAGTAAGAATAAGAGTTCTATCTTTTTGAAAATTTATTTACTTATCAGAATAAGTAGTTTATTAGCATTACTATAACTAATTTATACTTATTTAAAAATATATGTATATAACTATAAAAATTTACGAACAAAAAAATGACAATTATAATATAGTTCCTTGTATTTCCTGGCATTTAAGTATATTTGGATGTAAAAAACGTAGTCTTTTGTATAACAATTAGGTAAATATTTGTCCATTATAAACACAACTGTAAGGACAAAAAGAACCCTTAGACTGAATTTAACTAATTAAATTAGTAATATTAAATATTACCTGCTGAAGTCATGCATCGACAAGTCATTGATGTAAAGACCAGTGGAGACCAATGCCGCGAGATCTGGCATCACTGGAGTGCCCAAGTACATCATCATACGCCAATTGTCCATGTATATCATTTGACCTGAAGGCATTACACAAATACTTAGAGGAATAGTAATGTTCTGGATATTTTTATATCTTACTAAATACTCTATTTCAATAACATCCAAATTAAAAAATGATATTTCTTTGCAGAAGGTGTAATTATATTGTAGTCGTCTAAAAACTAATCAAGAAGATTCGGGAAGAAAAGCTATTCCGTACAGTGTAATGCGTTGCAATGTTCTTGCAGGACACATGTTGAGGATAATTTATATGTAAGAACATATGTACCAACATGGAGCAATAAATATTATGACTATGACTATAGTATAGCTCAGAATATAAGTCAGAAGGGGAACATAAAATTAATGTACCAAATGGTGCAACAAAATACATTTGTGCAAATACAGTAAAAAATAACTAATTAGAATAAATGACAATAACAATGATACTTTAAAATTAACATAGTATTATGGTATGGACAATGCGTTGGAATTTCGAATAATACCTATTTAGTCAGTGCTAATAAAAACTAAAGTGCAATTTCACACCCAAGCTCTAACAGTAGGTACCTAATAGTGCATTTTGGGTTCAAAATTGTGGTATTGCAATCAGATATCTAATTTTCATTGAAATGTGTTTTATAATACATAACCAGTGTACTTATATATTTATCTGGACGATTTAATGGTGTTTACACATACATTTAGATCTCTTTCATATGTCTTACAATAGTTTTAAAGAGGAAAAAAGTCACCTGTATGTTTCTAAAACTACGTTTTTACAAGTCTACCTTTTAGATGTAAATTTATAATATCAGGCAACCTTCTCCCATCGTAAGCATATCGCTTCTTCTTTGGCATGCCTGTAAAAATTAAACTAGACAGTCCAATCTAAGACCAAATATGGCAAGTGAATTTAATCATGAGTGCTTTTGCACAGGATCATTGAAACCATTTTTTTGCCCAGGATATTTTTCAACATTTAAATATCAATACGTTATCTATCCTATACTTTTTATCTTGTAAATTATGTTGTGTTAGTCTGTTCAAAGAAAGATCACCTAATCTGTTTTATCTGTTGATGAGCTGTTACTTATAAATGTATCAAGAATTTAATATATCACATTTATCTCCGCGAAAGTGAGACCGTGCCTCTTAGGAAGCTTTCGGGATTATGAGGGTAAATCTCCGTTACTCGTTTGTGTTTATCTATTAACAATGACTGTATTTAAGCGAACTATACATAAATATAATTTTCTATAAATCTGCTATAGTCAGGTCGATCTAGGATGTTTCTCAATTCGGACGTTACTCCTTAACAAAATACTGAGAAACTGAGAAGATTTCAGTTTCATATAATATATTTCAATGCTCTTTTAAAGCGTTTAGACAATAGTGTTTGTTTACTATAAACTATTTCAAAAAAGAAGGTTATTGCATTTATTATTCAAATAAACTTGATAACGTTTAAATTATCTGATCATCCTAAACGTCTTAAGCACTTAATGTGATAGAATCAAGGTAAATAAAACGAAATGTTAGATTTAGTGTGTAAATCTATTCAATCTCCCTCTAACCAACGCATTCGAGTACACGAGCGAAACCCTGTGAAACTATTGCGACTGCGAAAATTATATACGCTCTTGAGATAAAAAATACGTAATTTTAATATACAAACCTTCATTTGGTTATTGGAATAATAGTTTATAGAAATAATAGCCGCTGTAAGTGGCTCTGATATCAATACAAAGTTTCGGACAAATATTTATTACTATGACCTTGTAATTGTGACGTCATGAACGAACCTTTTAGCCTCAGGTTCTTGTCTGTGGTGCCGTCAGACTCGTCTGAGAGCCGCAGTAGTTCGTTCCTCTTGTCTGATGCCTTTTCGTGAATCACCGCCTCCACTGTCACCAGCTCAAATATATTATTAGTACGATTTAAGATCTGCAACAGAGAGACATAACATATTAATTATATTATTAATAATAACATATTATTATTCACTAGAGCTGAAAATCGGCGCTAAACTTTAATGGATGTTTGTGCAACTGGGCGTATGTGATATAAAAACGAGGTAGCGGTGTTAATAGTCAAGAAGGTCAACAGTGTAGCGAAGCATAGAATACAATAATCATCAGCGAGGCCTTCTTTTCAGGTTAGGTCAGGTCAAAATCTACCCAAAAGATATAAGCTAATATTTTACGATCATATACTTATTATCTTTGCGACTGTTTGTCCTATTCCGTTACATTAACGGTAGCGATATTTGATAAAAATCGTCGGCAGGGTTTCCAAGTTCTGTTATTTTGATAAATACTAAATAATATCAAGCACTTACTGTTTGAAATTTGAACGCGATGAGTGGTCGGACCAGGTCGAACCAGTTGGTGATTTTCTTGCCCACCAAATCCGGAAGTATGACCATTAAGGAGTTGCCAATACTCCGCACCACCATGTCTGATCTGAAACATTGTTAATTAACACTTAAATTCATTGTGTATACATAGTAATATTCACTGTGTATTGAATAAAATTAACAGACATTATATTCATAGCTTTTAGACCCAATATTAAGTAGTTTTTCGCACTTGTATTACCGCAATTCTAATCGACAAAGGTTAGAATTGCGATAATACAAGTGCGAAAATTTTCTATATTTAAAGATAATTTTCTATATTTACTAATATAAAAGATTATCTTTTCATTCATACATAATTTTCACTAAATTAGAGATAAATTCAAATTCAACTAAGTTGGAAACACTGCCGTGAAATCCATATTCATCATTTGTTTTGCGTTATTTATGTCCACGCAGTAAAATGAAACGAAAAAGCGCAATAACATGGCTAAGATGTCGTATCCTATAGTTAGAGGAGTTTGGCTGTCGCTTTGTAGGAATCGTACCCAGGACCTATGAGATGGCGATACCTTGAAACCAGTGAGAGCCACTCGACCACCGAGGTTGATTTACTAAAGATGTAGCCGTGAAATTTTGAAATCTCGGTAATATTTATCTATAATTTGAGAAGTTCACAGTATGACATATAATGTACATAGAGGTTATAGGTAGTTTCTAAAACCTTAACTTGTTCTTATAAAATACAGACGCTTTGTGTGGAATTCTGTAACGTATTATTTAAGCTTGTGTAACTTATATTATTTTCGAATGAAATTTCACGAACATCTGGTTGTAATCTGAAACAATTGGGCGTAATCCTGGTGAAAGCCAATGAACCATTAACCTAATAATCTAGGCTGATTGATCACGAGCAATCGAGTATGCATTTGAGGGATTTGTATCGAACTAGATCGAAACTAGAAATGTTATTATATCATAAGTCAGTCGGAAAATCGAAATTCTGATAGTTATGAAGGAAAGCGATTTTCGTGTACCTACTAAGTAGTAAATATACCTTTACTCTTATGCAAATCTATATTATCTGTTTTTTGTTAGTAGGCTCCGAAATTGGACCAGTAGTTTCGGAGCCTACTAATATATATAGATTTTAAAAATTCTTTTAATTTGCGGAAAGCTACATTTTATGGAGTGAACATAGGCTATATTTTATCCTGAAAAACAGAAAATAAAGGGATGTAAATAAAAATTAAGGAATTAAAACGTTGCCACATTAACCATTGTTTACTATTCAATTTGTAATTGTAATTATATTGGTTTCCCAAACCCACGAATTTTAAGACCGTCTTAAGATATGTTAACTACCCTTTTGTAATCATCTTATTTAATTACATTAACATACGTCTTTGATTTGTCTATCATAGAATTTTCTAACATTAATACTTAAGTTATGTAAGTCCCTTTCAGATAGGTAAAATTTAACTTCAATAAAGTTCTAAATTTTAACTTGTTCTTACACTACCAACATACAAAAAGCAGAGTTTATAAAATACTAAAATATGAAGTAGGTAATCTTAGCGAAACACTGGATTCTGCCGAAATCCACAAGGGCAACGTCATTAATTAAAAAGAAGAAGAATTATATCCAAATAAACGTTTCCTAGGGTTTACGCAAGCGAAGCCACTGCCGGAAAGCTAGTATCATATTAAATGATTATTAATGACTCTAGAACTCTTGCTGTTAATTTTTTTTAATGTTTTCATTGTTATTTGCTTATTATGGTTTGAATTTTGAATCCGATTTAACCTCTATATTAAATTGTTAGCTTATTAAATGGTTTGAATTTTGAATCCGATTTAACCTCTATATTAAGTTATTAGCAGCTTACAGCTTTCGTAATTAGCTATATAAGAGCCAAAATTACTATTTTTTAATTATTTAATCTCCCCTAAATTTATGTCTAGGAGTGAGCATAATGATTTCACATAGGGTTAAATTACTGTACGTAGATTTATTACCTTTGATATTATCTAGTGAACGTGACAAATTTTCAAAATTATTAATTTCCCCGAATAAGAATATATGCTAGTTCTACTGTAAAATGTATTTACATTAGTTGTAATTAAAATTCTGGTTATATAGAGTTAAATAAACCGAGCTGCCTGCTTTTTCCCACGCCGACACGCGAGCATATCCCGCTACCCCATTTCATACACACTTTAAGAAAAATCTGATTCTTCACCACGTAGCTTTAAACAAAAGCTCAATCGTTAACTTTCTTTTTTTCTGAACTATTGTTGGATAATAGTTCGAGCGTATATAATATGTAATACTCGCAATTATGAAAAAAAAAATCTTTTAAATTCTTAAAAATGATGATGATGTAGGTTCCATTCGATTTGGCATTTGGCGCTGAGGCCCTCTAAGATGGGTTGCATATTTTTTTTGCCCTCAAGCAAATTGACCACGTGAATACTCCGTCTATATAGTGGTAGTAAATAGCAGCAGCTGGCCGGCCTCCTTAACATCCCATCGATAGCGTTTCGTAGTTTCCATCCTCAACTTTCGTCGTTAGTATAGTTAAGAATACTCAAGTTCTTTGGTCACACCTCTAGAAATGTATATCCGCGGATACGGACCTGAATACGGATATTTGTTGTTAAGATTCGCGGATACGGATACGGATCTTTATAATTAATTTTTTTTTTCAAGTTCCTCTAATTTTCACTGTGTTTGCTCGTGTCTAATGTCAATCTAATGTTTACACTTTATATGGCAGGTAGTAACTACTAGGTAAGCAGTATTAATTTACTTTATTAGAATAATCATTCAATCAGAATTTATTTTTGGTTTTCTCATCATCTCATAGTTATAAAAATGATCTTATAACTTATAATATAACTTTTTCTAATATAGTAAAGTAATAATATAATATAGTTTCACATCGTATAAACATTTTTCACTTAAAATATCCGAATCTTGTTTATTTTTGTTGATTTTACTATTTCCTATCGTGATTTACAACTAATTAATGCAACTTTTTACCTAATTTATGATACAGTGGAATCCGTTTATAATGACATCGAAGGGAATTGACAAACACGTCATTATAAGCGGACGTTATCCAAAAGGTTTGGTGACATCTTTTTTTATGTAATTATGTATGTATTTTAATATTTTTAATAGAGCATAAAAAAATACAAGTAAAAAAAATTTACCACTCATTTAAGTATGTAATATATGTATTTTTCATTTTTTAATTAAGCAATCTGTAATTTTTGCCTGCTTTTGTTTTTTTTTTATTATTTTATTGTAATAACAGTCTTATAATAGTATTGTCTAAAGAAGAAATCGCCATGGTCAAATTATCATTTCCAATATTGCTATGAACAAATCGCGATAGTAATTCTGCAGTCTTTAATGCCTCTTCTGCGGTAGGTAATGGTTCTTCCTCGACTTCCTCTTCTCCTACACTTTCAAGTGAGCCACGTGTCGAACGACACCGGGAGTCGCCGAACATTATCGAAAGCGTAAAAAGTCATGTCGGTCATCTTAACCGCAAATAATTTATTAAAAATAACCGACATGTCACTATAAGCAAAGTCATTATATCCGACTTTTTTTTCAAGAATTTTATGTGAAACCAAACTTCGATGTGTATGTAATTACGTCATAATAGGCGGTTGGTCACTATAGGCGGTGTCATATTAAACGTATTCTACTGTATTTCATTTTGGTTTCATCGAAACACCTTAAATCCCAAAAAAACGAGACATCCGGATTTTAATTGGATGAAAATGTAGAAAACCGAATTAAAAAAAAGAACAAAATGATTCTGCAATTCTTAACAGCAGCCAATATTGTTCAAACTCAACGTTAGCGTAGGCCAATTCTGCTAACGTAGTTTACGTAATAGTCGCATCTCGAAAGAATCTCAATTATCTGCATTTTACCATTGTACTATCTACATAAAGTCTAATATTAGTTCAAAGTCTTCCTCGCACATCAATGGTGGCTGATATATATAATATTTGACTTCAGGCAAATCATACAACGACAAAATTCAAGTCGTTGAGATTCTATATAGTAACTCTTACATCGATTTCCTTGTCATCGGACTCAACGTTCAATACCGTATGAAAGCAAAAATTGTCTTTCTAATTTATTTCATTGTTCCATCCGACCATTGATACACTAATCAATGTAAATCGTAATGGAAGTCGTGAGATAACTTCTGTGTGCGGATTAAGGTCGTCGATAAAATGAGCCGAGTTCATTCCTTACAATTTATAAACAATACGAACTTTTGTTATCTGTGCCAGTTGTGTAATTATAATCTTCAACTAAGAAATAATTCTTGTTGAAAATTGAATTGAAGAATTTATTGAAATTGTGATGATGATTTTTTTATTTAGTACGACATCAATCACAAATTGACAAATTATTAACAAATAAAAATACTCATGATTAGTTTTTAAAAACTTTATCTTGTAAATTGCATAATAAATTTGTAATTCTCCATTTATAATGTATTTTGTTTTTACGTTTTTATTCTTAATCCAGAATGATTCCGTCACGTTATTTTGGAAGAAAACAGCTTTTTTTTCTATTGGGAAAACAATATCCACTTCCATTTGTAGTTAAACTATTTATAAAGTAAATTAATTAAAAAAAATAAAAAACCCGACTGCGTGAAAACGAAAGAAAGAAGTGAAAAAAATATATAATTCTATTCCCATTCCTTTTTGACATACTAAGTCTGGGTTATTGACCAATCAACGGAGCCCCGTATAATTTGAATGGGTCCCGACTGTTGATCCTTCTATGCCGCTCTGATTTTAAAACTATTTCAATGGAGCAGTTATTCAGTAGAACGTAATAGCATTCCAAACCACTGGGCTTGTTTTTTCTTTTTAGTTTTTAGTGAAAGTAATTATGTATTTTTATTTCACGTTTTCACGCAGTCGGGTTTTTTATTTTTATAATAACATTTTTATTTTTACACGTTTTAATTAGTTTTCATTGACTTCGTTATTAGAACTATAAGACGGTAAATTTCGCAACCTTGTCATTTCATTGAGGGCATTTATATCGAGAGTATTATTAAGCTACTTGCGGTGGTCTAAACTACTGATTGTTAGTCCCTCTAGAGACCTCACTCGGCTCAAAGCTACATATGCTTGACCTTTAGCAAAAATTCGCGAACTTAAGTCAACCACAGCTCGGTCCAAAGTAGTTCTTAACATTAAAAAGATTTTGAGAAAAGCTCACTATATCTAAAAACGGTCTACGCACACTTTTAATATTTTTGAAAGACCTATCCAACAATATCCCACACTATAGGGAAATTGAAAAACTAAAAAATCGTCCCCACTTTACATGTAGAGTAGGAACCCCGAAATTTTTTTTTAATTACCATTATGTGTTTAGTTACACTCGCAAGGTTAAGACATCGATTGACATATAAATCATTAAAATTGGCCAAGCAGTTTGGTCTCTACAATGCCATATAGGAACAAACATACATACATACACTCATAAACACATTACTCTCCTTTGCGTTGCGCAGTCGGGTTAAAAGCTAAGGTACCTACTTGCGTTGTTATTAAGAATATATTACGTTTTTCTTAACTAATATATCTGCAGGAACTAGCCACAAAAAATGCTAGTTAAATGCAATACCTAATCAACCAATTTTCCTCAAAGCGGAATTATCAATTTAAATAATTAAGTTATGAAAGTGAAATAAACCTAATTTTCATACTCACCCAAAAACGATGCAAAACGGAAATATTTCGAAAAGCACGGACGCGCTAATTGGCAGATGTTTTTCCTCCCGTGTCATCGCCAGCGATGCCAGGGTGAATGCCCTATTGTCAAATGTCAACTGGAAGGTCACATGGACTGTATCGAAGAGGAGCTCTTCTCTAAGGAGCTCTATCCTCATCTCCTTGTGGTAGAAATGTCGGGCCACCTAGGAACAAACCTAGAATGAAATGCAATAGCATCTATTTTGGAAAACTTGTTTTTTTTTTTTTAGATAGGAACAGTGTAAAGGTCGTTATAGTGGCGCCCCTTGCGGTTATGTTTTGAAACCGATAATAACAGTTTTTGTTTTTCAATTTTGGTGATATTATATTCATAGTTTAGAGAAAAACGTCTAAAATATAGGTGAGAACTAAATATAAACAAAATACTTCTATGGACTTTACATTGTTACGCCAAGTAGCCAAGAGTCAGTCGTTAGGAGTAGGTACATAGTTGTATTTTATTTTTGGGCACAATTTTTAACTTTCTGGCTAATAATGGTACTTATCAAAGACAAATCTATATTTTTGATATTACGAAAATTAAATATTGCAGGAAAATACTAGCGCCCTCTATGGAGTCTGTTCAAAACTAACATTAAAAATATAGTCAGCGCCATCTAGTTTAGCCCTGAAAACTATTGGACAAAAATAATAGAGATTTCAATTATAATTGAAAATTGGGTTACAGATTTTTTAAAACAAAACAACCTGTAATGCGAATTTTACACTTAAGAGGCTGAGGACACTGAATGATTTTTAGAAATCGACACGCCCCCTTACATAATTACAGGTGGCTACGCTAGTGTGGGTTAGCTCATTGCACGTTCCTCAGAAGAATAACAAATGCCTATCGGTTCAGCGCCAGCAGATAAACTTTGTACTAATAACAATGACGTTTTATAACCATCAAGTGCTTTGAGTTAGCTGTCTAAAGTGCTTACACAATAGGTGGCGCTGAATTTTTTCAAAAGAAAGGAATAATTTCTTTTTACTTCAAATTTTTATGGGGCTTAGAAAGGACAAGTATGTTTTTTCTTTTTGGGTCGACAAAATAACATGCTATTATTTTGTCTGTTTCATATTTCAGAATTTTATTCTAATTCATTGATATTTTAAAAAATGCTTTGCATTGAATAATGAAAAGATTTAAAATTTAAAGAAATATGAAATAACTATATAAAATCACTTATGATACCACACATCACATTTCTTCACTCGATTTTAAACCTTAATGTAGTGAAGGTAGAGTTAAAATAATTGCGATAATTTGATAGACTGTAGTAACCTGACTTGCTGCTATATGTACCTGATAATGTCGGCCAATCAGAATAAACCAAATATCACGTCATGGCACTTAATCCCCGCCGAGTTTGACTGAGACGGACTTTCATACCTTATTCTCATTACAAGAAGAGTCATTATACGTTTTAATTGTACGAATTTTTGGTAGGTCGGCTTTACGTAAACGAATATTCACCATATGCAATATTAATTGGAAGTCATTGTAGTAAGTACACATATCCATATCGAACTTTCCGAAGGAGGAGAAAAAAAGCAATTTTAGAATCGTTTTATGAGAATATAGGGTAGACGCGCCTGTTTCTACCATTGTCTTGCTGTCGAACATTTCATGGCCCTTTTAAAAATAATTAATGCTTTAAGAATTGGACTCTACCTGATCTTTGGACTGGAGTTAATAAAACATATTCTGTTTTCATAACTTGAAGAAAAGTTATTTTTTCCTCTAGCCATGATCCTTTTATGGAGGTGGAATGATATTTTGTAATACTGACGCATCATCAAAGTATAGGACTGGTTGACCAGTTAGGATAAAACCATTAAAACACAATCATTTTATTAATCCCATAAATATAGATGATTTCAAAGTTGCCGTCAGACATTTTTTATTTGATACTGGAAAGCGAAATGATTCAAAAACAATATCTTAAAAGTCTATCCATATTTTAAATAGTACATTAAGGATAAAGAGCTTGTAGGGAAGGCGAAGTCATCCAAAAACACTCTTTTTATGAACTCCGAAACAATCATAATACTGCAATTATTAAATGAAAATTCACTAAAGTTTTTACAGATAAACTTATCATTGGCTTAGATTGTTTTTGTCATGGAAAATGTATTTTATTTTAAAAGAAAATTGTTTTCGATTTATAAAAAAAATATATTCTTGCATAACATTGTAGCTGTAATTAAAAATATAGAGAAAAACTGTTTTGTCCATCGAATCCCTATTAAGTAAGAATCCCTATATACTAACAAACAGTTAATAAATACATCGAAGTGCCTAAGGATTATGGGATATATGATAGCAAGACTATACTAGCTGATTTTCATAACAAATAAGAATCATAATTATTGCCTTAACTTAAAAAATACTAAAGCCGTAATTTTCACGTCATTGTGTTGATTTGTAAAATGTCCACACCGTTACCCAGCAATAAGGATAACTGTGTCATAAACAATGTTTAATTTTATTTATATATCCATTTTATAAATCCATTTTCTAACTGTTACACGTTTTATACTTATAACAAATCTGCAAAAAAATAATGTCTGTACATTGAATATATTTACAAAAAAGAAAGAAATTGAGGGTGGTTAATAAACAATAATAGAATACGAATTTAAAAAATATTGTCTGTTTATCTGTATGTACACGTTAATTTTCGGGACTACTGAGTATATTTGTATGAAACTTATTTTGTTAATACCTGGGCAATATATGGGGTATAATTAATTTTGGAAACTTAAACGTTTGATGCACAACCACAACAGACCAGCGACACCTTAAGAAAAATTTTTGTGCCTGATCAATATATTCTGCTAAGAGTACAAAAGTCAAAGATCCAGAACATATAATGTGGTCCTCAAAGATACTAGTTATACTATAACATCGGATAAATATGACTTCTTAACAATAAATATTTTTTTTATTTATTGACATTTTTTGCACAAATACACATTGGCGTACTTAATGCCATGGCCATTTTCTACCAGTAAACCTTAGGATGATGTGGATACGGGGTTCTCTCTATTGTTGTACAGGGCAAGTTCGTGACCTTGTTGCGTACAACAAAACGCGGGAAAGGGAAAGATCTATGGTTAGCGATACGTATCGTTGTCTTTCAACGATCATGTAAATACTAAGGTTTATTGTCCGTTTTTTCGTCTACTCTAGAAACAGACAATGCAATGTGTCAAAAAGCTCTGATAAGATAATTTGGATTTAGTTTTAAATATATTAAAATTAACTTTGTACATAAAAAGACGGCAATATCATTATCCTAATTTTATAGTAATTATGTATGTATGTATATACATACATACATTAAAATTAAAAATTAATATTATAAAATATTACTATATTACTTATATACTATAATATTATAAAATATTACTATATTACTATAAATATTACTTATATACATACATACATAATTACTATAAAATACATAAATCATAAAGTAATTAATGACTAAATGAATTTGCTTGTTCCAAACAATGAAACATTTGCTATAGAATAACTTGTTTTTAGAAGCTAATTTATTATTTATTGATAATTCTTGTAGACACAAGTAGAATGGAAATTCATCCCACAAAGGAATAGATTTGACGAAGAACGAAGAGTGAACGATTTCGGAGAAATAAGATGGGCAGAGTAGACGATTAGAGGAGGAACAAAGAGTTTTGGTGTGAAAGGTACATAAGTACAGTTAAGATAAGAAAGAGTGTTTGGAGATTTCAGCAGAGAGGATAACGTAGTTAAAGCACGCATACTTCTTCGCTTCCGGATGGACGTCCATTTTGAATTTTAACGATATAGGGACACATGATCAAATTTTCTAAGAATAAAAACGGATAAAATCTTCGGTCTCTAGAATCCAGTTAAGCCAGTGAAAAACTGACCATCCTCATACATTGCCCAAAATCTTTAGATCTACCAGAAAATGAGACAGAAACAATTTCTGAAGTACGCAAAGATATAAAAACAGCGCTGTTGAGAGAATAAAAGTTGCTGGTGTGGAACTGAAAATTACCTGTCTTTCTAATGCCCAACTTTGCCTTGTTGTTTTAAGGGTTAGCAACGTCTCTGGGCTCTATATTTTGGCACCCGAATAAAAAAAAAACACCAATAAAGTTTATAAATTTCATCTTAAATATTATTGTTAATCATATATACCGTTGGCACCGTCAGCAGGCTGTAGAATTTTGGTACAAAAAGAATTCTACCTTTACAGGTTCATTAAGTTATAACCTACTCAATCCACAACATACAATTTAAGCTTACAAAATCTTTGGTATGAGACAACACGAACGAAGATGCGGGCACCAGCTAGTGGCAAATAATATAACGGTGTAATGAATCTTTACAAGTATTTTGGCCAAACATAACCTCAGTAAAAAGTTATACGACCAAATGAAACAATAACAAAAACTTACTATATCCCAACCTTTCATCTTATTTGAGGTTGTTCTAGATATTTATTGAGCAACACATTGTTTGAATAGTTGCCTCTATAGAATAAAATTTATGAATTTCATTGGGATCGCCAGTTTAAAGCTGCTTTCTTTATGCAGATGATACCTACCATAGTGCTTACATAGAATTCATTCAATCTGCAAATGAAGCGATAGTCATGGAGCAAGATTATGAGTGATGAAAGGATTAAAATTAAACGTGAATAACACATAAGAAATTAAACCAATGTACTACTTTGAGAATAGAACTATTCACACCGTCATTAACTGGTCGTCCTCTTTTAATTTTAAATAAGAGTGAAGTTATACTTCACGGAATTGTCACTGTAAACAAATTTATTTCGTGATTATCCTTTACCAAAGGAGGCAATTTGTCAATATAAATTAAAAAAGAAGCATCGAGCACTGTGAAACACCCATGATAGGTGTTGATATATCGATTCAGGGGATTTATTGTCACCGATATGAACCTCCTACAAAGCCACTGAACTAAGAGACAGCAAAGTATAACTAGTTATCTCTAAATTCATAATATGAAGATTCGTTATATATTTCATGAACACCATAATTGACAGCTTTAAGTACGTCACAGAAAACACCTAAAACGTTGTGTAAATTCTCCCAGGTATCAACAATTTGTTCTAAGATTCCGATATTCATACCGATACTGAACTTATGCATCCATGTGAGGTGAACCGTAGCTGGTTTTATCATTTACACTTACCTGCCCTTACGGCCAGTTACACTAACCTGCCCTTTTCAGAATGGGATTGCCCAGACCCAGAGTCCTGATTAGATATTCTAGAGAATCACCCGTTTCTTTGAATGTCGAGCTTGTCCTCAACTCTGTGCTTAGAGTTGAACTGAATTGTAAAATTTACCGTAAAACTTTTACCACACTTACGTCACAATAATCAATGCTGATTACCGAATTATTCACATCTAATTTTTTTATGCCAACCTCAGTCAGGAATAAAATTTAGTAACATTTTGGAGCGATTTTCAATTATTACGGTAACCATACGCCACAGGTTTGCGTCCGTGATGCGGAAAGTAGATTTAAAAAAAATATATAGTTCTCTAATTTAATGGCTAAAACGACTTCACAAATTTTATTTCAATAAATTTACCAGTATCTTAAGAAAGTCAAAGAACGACGTCTTACGAAATAGCGGTGCGATCGTATCAGTCACGTTCGAAAACTTGTCACGGCTTTTATAATAGGGTGTTATACTCTGATTGCAAAAGTACTTACTTGGTACTTGTAAATGTTTATAATCGACAACAAAAATATTCCAAAAAATTAAAAACGTTTTCTTTTCTTAAAATTAAATCATAATTCCACTTTTTTACACCCATAAAAACACCGTCTGCCATATTCATGACGATATTCTGTTATGTACAGATTGAAATATCAATAATAATAATTAAATAACAGTAATGTACAAACAGATTAAATTATTTTTAACAATCAACCAATTTAACAAATGTAATGTAGGGAACTATGTGTTTATTAATGTTTCAATTTTATGTTCATATAAATTTGCATAACTGTTTGATCCTATATATAAAAAAACTAAATATGATGTTATTCAAACGAAAACGGTGTTATCTAACGATCTCGACAAAATAATAATATTAAATAAGGTAAGAACAGTATTATCTCGGAATCTGCTTTTTCTGTCAAATCGGCTGCTGTTTATTTATTTTTTTACAACTACTGACAGATGTCAGATTCAGAAAATATTCAAACGAAGTGTTGTGACGTAATGATGGGTTATGTTTTTAAGTCACATGATGAATAAACAAAAAGACTGGACCTTTAATTTTGATATGTTAAGATAATTATGCGATTTTATTACTCAAAATCAGCCTAGATATGATTATTTTTTTTTATATTTGTATTTTTGTTTTTTTTTTTTCTTCTCTTATATATTATCATTGTGTTCATGTAGGTGTGGTCAATAAATTTTCTTTCTTTCTTTATTTCAAAGCAAATTTCAGTGATTCTGCAAATTCGTGCTTTACGTTTCACTATCGAAACTACCCAATCCACTATCAAAATTACCAAGTATGCTTAAAATTGTATTATTTTGGTTGCAATACAACTATAGTCTATTGAGTATCGTTTAAAATTGTGTACTAGTCCGGAACACTGTACATTTACCCTACAGAAAAATCTTCGTTTTTCATTATCAATAATTGTATGGCTACGCCTGTTGCGTACTGCAATAGTTTGCAAACCAATAAAGGATATCTAGAGGTATTTTTGTATCAAATTACCGCGAAATTTATCCAGTCGTTTTTCCATGAAAATGTCAAAAATAATATCTATACAATTATTAAATATAATAATTTATATTTTAGTATAAACACATAAATAATTTTTAATATTTTATTTCTCATAATAAAAATATTGGGTAAAAAAAAAACAACATGAAACTTGGTTTTGATCTGCGGCACAATGAGTACCTAGTGACCAGCACATAGGACATTGCGCTACACCAAACTTTAGTAAAATTTGTGAAAAACCTGTACATTATTATTTAGTACATTGTTTCCATAATTTTCAAATTCATTCAATAGTAACTAATTCCCTTTTTTATATCTGTTTTATAAAGTAATACCTATTTATTGAACTATTTTATTAACACAATATGATTGATAAGGAATTATTTTTTACTAGAGTAACGGTCTACGGGATGGTTTTTGCATGAAAATGTCAAACTTTTGCAACACATACTTTTATGGAAGTATTTACCTATTGTCAAATTTTATGTTATATATTTTTACAGCAATTAAATTTATCAACTAGACTAGATAATTAAATAATACTTAATTACTGTATAAAATAATATTCAAAATTATAAAAAAATAATAATATAATTATAAAAAAATGAGAGAGGAAAATATATCGGGGAAAAGAAGATAAAAGTAAAACAAAAATGCTTCTTTGATGGGATTGGAACACGAACATGTATTTTATTGGAACTATTTCATCAATATCGGGGCTTTTGTATGAAAATGTCAGTCTGACTTTTGCCTACGTCATACTAACGAAATATTTATTTTCACATTTTATACTGTTTAATAATAATAATAAAATAAAAAGGTGCTTTTTAAAATTATGGCAGAAAAAAAATGAAAATTAGAATAAAATAATAAAAAAACGACTTGAAAAAATGCGAGCTCTAGTGGGATTAGAACTTACAACTTCGAGACACTCGGGTCCCTACCCTAGTACATTACACCAAAGATATTGTTAAAACGAGAGTGAAATTAAAATACTTATTTTAAATGTTCTTTTTTTTACAATTTTAGCGATCTCGATACGTCAGAACGCTGCACAAAGCAACATAGGTCCATCTAGCAACACGCCTCAGCGTGAACTAAGTTAGTGTGCGTTATTCTATAGCCTTCCCTGTCAATTGCAGTAGGAGTGACAGAAATGTCAATACTTTAAAGTTGCTTGAAAAAAATGACCATATGTGCCATATCACAAAATAAATTATATTAATTATTATAATAACATTATCAAAAATTGGGAATAACCAACTTTTATATCAACCTTTGATACATATTTGTACTCAATATCATTACTCTAATGTATCACATAATTGAGAAACGTGCCTTTCGCAATATTTTTAGATGCTACTTTGGAATTATTTTCTATCGAGTGAAGTTAATACAATCATGTTTCGGTTTCAACCACAAGATCAGAAATACGATCAAGTATAACCACAAATTTTTGGATTACCATAGGTTTCCCGTGAATTAGTACAATCCTAGATCAATTTTATCGATTTGGCACTATTCAGCCTCTTAACTTCAAAACTGTATTTAAGGTTTGATCACGACTTAAAGCTTTAATGAATGGTCGGGAACGTCGCTTTAAATTTTAGTGGTTCTTTTTACAAATTGGATGTTTTACTCCTAAAATAATTTTCAAACTATTTGCATTATCCGTATTAATATTATAAATGTGAAAGTTTTTTCTTTGGATGTTTGTCCGTCAATTATGCCGAAACTACTGAACGGATTTTGATGAAACTTGGTATACAGATAGTTGACTTATATAATAGGATACTTTTTATCCCAATAAACATTTTTTACAGACCACGCGAATGCTAGTATGTATTATAATTTCGAAAGACAATCATAAGGGGGCGTAGCTCAGATGGTAGAGCGCTCGCTTAGCATGCGAGAGGTACCGGGATCGATACCCGGCGCCTCCAACTTTCTTTTTTCTTTTTTCGATTTTATATATTTTGAAATCAATTATCAAAATATTCATTTTAATAATATCAAAATTAAGTTATTGTAAAGTGCGATTCCATGTTTATTTTTACAAATAAACGTTTTCTATTTATTTATTTATATTTTACATAGATATTTTTATATAGAATGATAAAAAACTAACCTCTCTTATTTGTCCCATGGCATAATAAACAAAGCCGCGCCTTTTCGACCTATAATGCAACGTTAGTCCCTGGCGAGTTTCGTTCTCACATATGAAGCTAGGCGCACGCATTCTCGGATAGCTGAACTTGAGATACTCGTGGAGGTTGTCCAGTCCATTCAGGAAGTCCCTCATGTGTCTGCCGAGCACCGACAGGACTCTGTCGTATCCATATTGGGACACAAAACCGACGAAGTATACTCCCATTTGGTCCATGAATTCACGCTCTGATATGCCAAGCACCTGTTGACAATTTATTGACCAAATTAATTAAACTGTTTCAATTGTTTTGTTCGTACATAAAATGTTATCATACATAACAAATGATAATATTTAGAAAATATTTACATTTCTCGCATATAATATAACTACATAGTTATGTGTATATATCTGCACTAGTGGTTACTATTTGACCATTATATTTCCGAGTGCTTACGGTCAGTTTTTTTAACTAGCGGTCTCTGTCGACAACGAGGTCACAGATAGTGTTGCCAGACGTCCCGCATTTAGCGGGACGTCCCGCTTTTCAGCCCTCTCAGGACACGTCCCGCCAGACCCCTGAGCGGGACGCCCAAAATCCCGCTTTTTCAGCCATACCGGTAATCACTATGTGAGTGAACGACTGCCGACTATGCATGCGAGGCGCGCGATCTCATAGAAAAGAAGTTCCTTTTATGTTATGTTTTTGTTTTTAGAGTTAAATGTAGTAGCGATTACACTTCCCGATTTCCTAAGTCCAATGCGGCATACATTGCGTTATACCAAGGTATGAGAATGGACAGTTGCAAACAAAAACGGCAATGTATGCCGAGCTAAATGCGTTTCAAATAAAAATTTGAATGAGTTTCGATATTGTAAATGTTTTATTCTGTCCCGACTTTTTCACCCCAGTCCCGCTTTTTTTATGCTAATGTCCCGATATTTAGAAAAACGAATCTGGCAACGGTAGTCACAGAATACACAGGAAAGTAATCAAGTGTACTTAATTTTTCATAACTACGCTCGGCGGTTTTGTCAACTTTAGCTTAAACAAAAAAAACTATTGTAGTATTGATAGTAGTATCTAGTTCTTTGTAACAATCAATGAAAAACACAGAAAGGAAAGAAATTGACAAAATGCACAATTATTGAAGGTATTTTAATGTGTAATAAATTCGTTTTAGACCCAAACTTATAAAATGATACAATATTTACACAACAAAAAAATATATGTTTTCAACGTATTTGTTGAAGTGAATTTGCCTACCAAATATTTAGTAATACACTAGCAAAACTAGCACTAGTAAATAGCTGCAGGTCATCAATGCTGACAAATATATTAAACCACATAATTCCCTTAAAGCTGCTCATACTGGAATACAAGTAACTAACTTACTTACGTCCCTAGGAACGATATTTCACCTTTTTATGTTGAATGTAACCAACGAATAGTTCGAATAACACTCTTTTATTGCTTTGTCTGTGAGTGTTGTCTAGGTGTGCGTTGCTCGAACACACTTTATATGTAGATTTTTTTTAATGTATTCTGCGACGAGATCCGCACGCTGAGGCTCATCTCATTAATTAATAAAATAATGACTGATCAATGATATTATGTGGACGTTGTCCAGTAGTCGAACTCAATTATAGCAGTGTGTAGGTAGGTGACAAAAAATATATATATTCAAAAATACTCTGTGAAGTAACTTTATAATAATTTGGATAGCTCGGTATCGGGGGGTGTAACTCAGTGGTAGAGTGTCTGCTTCGCATGCTGAAAGTCCTGGGTTCAAATCCCAGCACCTCCAAAGTCGTTTTTTTTGTTTTACACATTTATTTTGAAATGTTTTTTTCTTTTGCGAATATTATAAAAATTCTATTTTTATTTCATGAATTATCTTTATTTTTATCAATAGATATTATAAACACACAGTGTTAAACGGATTTTGATGCAATTTTTTTTTAATAGATAGGCTGACTCAAAAGGAAGGATATTTTTTATATATAAAACAAAACCACACGGCAAAACTGCTGCCGGAAAGCTAGTTGAAATTTAAATTAACAAACATTATGTTTTTTTTTATATCTTTTACAATATTTCAGTAATTTAGAAATATTTATATAACAAAATATTAACAACCGATAAATAAATTAGTATTAAACAAAAAAAACTTGGCCCATGAGGGGATCGAACCCGCGACCTTCGCGTTATTAGCACGACGCTCTAACCAACTGAGCTAATGGGCCGATGTGGCATTTGTTGAAATTAAGATTTAGTTAATGCAGTATTCATTTATATTAAGACTACATAGCCACTGACTGATTTCCGTTTTGTGGATGCTATGTAAACCCTACGCTTTTCTTGGTTTAGCTAAGGTTTTATTCGTTCATATTTATTTATTTCTCGTTTGTAGCGAACGATTTCGTTTTATTTTTTCAGAATCACAGGGCTGATATTCAAAGTGAAAATTAATGCAGAAAATTATCTAATGGTATTGTGAAGTGATAGTAGTGAAGTGAAAGTGTGTTTTTTGTCAACGGATTATTTTGTGTAAATAAAGTGACGGATTGTGAACTATATTGGCATTGATTTTTATCCCGTACCCTAGCTCGTTACAATATGAAAAAAGAAATAATAGATTTAATTAAAAAAATATAGAAAAAATGCGAAATATTTTATGTGAAACTAAATTCTACCAAATTGTTGCCTTTAAAACAACGTACAACCCACATTTATAGGAACATAAATAACATTTTCGAATTGGCTTACTAACTTCACATTCCTACCCGAATTCCAGCCCTCAGCACAGAGAATAGAGAACCTGTCAAATAGTTGTACTAATTGTGCTTCAATAATTTCAAGAGTCACAGTCACAGGCTCTAAAGATTTTAATTTAGAAAGTTTGCTTTGATAGGCTATCGTTCGACCGTAATCCTTTGTAGTAAATGTCATAATCGCATGGTATTTTCAATCAAATACGTCGTTCGAGAAGTATAACTAATTACGTGTGTGTCAGAGACATATGGCGGCGCTGCGGGACCCTTTGTTCACCCTTAGCTGGACCCTTTTAGAACCCAATAGAATTATGCATGGTTTTGAAATGGTTATAAAATGTGTCCCCTGTGGCAAGCCGTAAATACAGAGTTTTGTTGTTTATTTATTGTAATAATTATGTTTACTAACCATTTAGTTAATGATGATTTTATTTTAATTAAGAATTACTTGGGGTGTTGTGAAGTATATAATGTAAGTGTTATAATATTTTTTCTTAATATGAGGTGTTCTTATGAAATAAAAATGTTTATATATTTTATATATATTTTTATTTTACGAGTTTTTATAATTATAGATAAGGCCTGTGATCATGACGCCGACTACTTGGAAAAGTTGCATCAAAACTCACTGTTGTCCGTACATTCATAATTGTCCATCTGCTATTAAGTTTTGGGTTTGGCGACACATTTAATGAGAAATATTTTGATGATTGGAAAATTCGCGTTAACTTAATTTATTTGTAATTATTAAATGTAGCACGTAGTCAATAGCGTTGTTGCGCAATAAAGCTTATTTAGTTCACTGCTCACCTCTTGCGCTTTTTTTGCTAGTCTTGTAATGAGGTTCTCTGGGTAGACTTGGTGCACGGAGAATGATGGTTGTTCGACGCCCGCCTGCCGTCTGATGTCCTCCCATCTCTCCTCGCCGTAAGTCTGGCGTATATACTCCGCCATGTTCTCTAGTAGCAGCCCGTACATGTTGAGGTCTGGTGGACAAGGAAAACAATATACTGACATTATATTATTATTAGACTTTAGACAATGTTGCGAAAAAACTGAAGTTTTATGGAAATTAAAAAACTTAAAACTTTCATAGTGCCGAGGTAGTTTTCGAATTTGACAAGTCTGAAAATCGATAACTAACTAGGCACCAGGAGACAGTGTTAGACCGGTCTACGGTATCCTATTTTACATTTTCATCCTCATATAAGTCATATAAGATTTGTATTTGGTTCTAAATTGCCTTAAAATTATCTAGGCACTGGTTTTTCGTAGGTATTCTGATAGCGTTGTATTCTGTTACAGTTAAAGACGTAGAAGTTATTCTATGAGCGAACTATCTTGGTTTCTTATTTATTCCATTATCCGACCCGCAATATGCAATTTTGAATAATGATATTGCATGTAAGCTATACCGGTCCAAATAAAATAAAAATTCATTGGACGAATATACACACTGGTCTGAATACTTATTCAGCTTAAAAAAGGAGCCAAGGGTAAAACTTTACATATAGGCTCTACCGAACTCTAAAACCATTGGATCAACTAGAGTTCAGTATGTATACATATTCCGACGTGTTTTAGTATAATAAAAATAAAAATGAATTTCCATTAAGATTTAACAAACTGTGCTTAATTCTAGCGATCCCTACACTAAGCAAAGGTTGGCTTGTAGCTACCAAATATATACATATTACCCACATACACCTTACATTACATTACAGAAATTTAAATGTTAATTGTTTAATGTTTTACTTATAATTTTAGCAAAAACAAGAAACTATAGTATTCATTATTTTATTATTTTGGACTATTACCAAAGAAGGTTATATTAATTTTTCTGTATATTATATTATAAATATTATTATTAATGTAAAGTACAGTCTTTTTATCCGTCAAAAGTAATTTTGAGAATCACTATGTATCTACAAAATAACAATTGACCGATTTTTACGGATCTTTTTTATTGCCAACTTGATAAAAAGAGGTAGCATTCCGAACCGTTGTTGGCAGAATCAAATGGGTATTCACAGTTGGGTTGGGAACTGGGATGGATATTTGTAATGCTATTTTTCGTTACGGAATGAAACAGAATAGTAAAAAAATATATCACAACATAATACAAAACAAAATCACACCGTCCTGTCTGTCTGTTTGCATGCAATCAAATCAAAATCATGCTGTTTCGTTAAGCATTATACAGTCATTCAGGAGGAGGAGGAGTTCATGTGCGTAAATTTTGGGTGTAATTGGATCTGGAGCTCTTCTTACAGGATGCCAGGTTCTTCACCATCCCCTAGTGAAAATAATTAAAAAAAAATTGGGTATTTCGGCACTAATAAGGATGAAGCCAGGGTAAAAGAAAGAAATTTATTTAATCCTTCAGTCATATAATAGAAAAAATATTGGTAACATATTTGTTGGCCTCGATTCAACAACAAAATAATGGTTTATGATAAATGATGATGAGACATGATATCATGAACCGTGATAGTTAGTTGAAATCTTCACTATAGAAAAATAGAATAAAATAAATATTTAAGGGGGCTCCCATTCAACAAACGTGATTTTTTTGTTGTCATCAGGCTGTATCTCATGAACCGTGATAGTTAGATAATTGACATTTTGATAGATGATGTATTTCTGTTGCCGCTATAATATTTAAAAAAAGAATAAAATAAATATTTAAGGTGGCTCCCACAGAACATACGACAAACGTGATTTTTTTGCTTGTTTTCGGTACGGAACCCTTTGTGCGCTACTCCAGCATTTGGCTGTTGATGTTTTTATACAAATGACAGTTCAATATTTGACAGTGTATTGGTATTCCTTTGTTACGATGTATTGAGTGTTTAATTTGAATTCATAAAAAAATTAAATATTGTTTTTCCAAAAAAACAATAAAACCGAATTAGAAATGAAGAAAAATATAATTTATCTCAAGCAATTTCAATTGAAGCCCGTCATGTTTATGTAGGTAATTAAAATTTTAAGAACCATAAACGATGCAAAGTTATATAGCTACTTTGCCTCAAGCTTAAAGTTGGCCGATTGTTAGCCTAAATTGTGTTTGGTGACGTAAGAAATTCAACTTTAAAGCAGTATTTATACAGAGAAAGTAGATGTTTCTTGTTATCTCATACACAAGTGACTTATTCTCGCACTGAATGATTCTGTCATAGGATAGGCAAGAGTAATGATGCGCCAAAGGTCTGTTAACATCCCAAAATTTACGACCAATATTTACGACGTCATCTGTAAATCCCCAAAGCCTTTGTTCAAAAGATCTTTGTGTGTACTTCCTGTGCCATTTAAAAGTCAATAATATATGTGGTGTGATAACCAAAGTTATAGGTCTGTGTTTCGTTGTTTTTATTGAGCTATTTTACGATTCAGTTTAACTGTTGGAAATATTAATGATGTAGATAAATAGAAGGAAGTGCTAACAAGTACTGAATTGAGAAACAAAACCCACGCGGCGAAATTAAGAAACTAGAAAATTAAAAATGAGATGGATGGAAGATGGAAATATGACCGAATGAAAATGACAGCTCCCACAAGCGAGATTAATCTCCTTAGGTCAGTGGTTACTAACCTTTTTATAACTGTTGCCTTTTTTTTCAAAATCATTATTTTGAAAAGTCTGAAGTTAATAAATTGTACGCGTTAGAGGTTATAAATTTTCTTATTTTATTGAACTTCTCTATGCTGTTACAATGTCGAACTCGATGCTGATTTTATTACAGAATAGAAAGAAAGAAAATCCATTTATTGACCCACAAACTTATGATAATAATACCAAAACACAAAAGAAAATAAATAAATAAGTGACAGTTGGGTCAATCAGGGCCCTGGCTCACTATAAGTTGTTACGATAAAGGTCGCAACAAAGCTGATATTCTGACAGAACCTGTTGGTGTGTTACGTGTGAATAAATAAATAGGCACATATATAAAACCATAATTATAATGAAATAAACAGAATTGATATATAAATATTCTATTAATACATTTAACCAAATAAATAAATAGAACATATAGAGAGACTCAGTTTTTTTACTATACTGCAGGGGCTCAGGTTTTGTTTATATCTCAGGGATAGTTAAGGAGGATGCGTCATGACCCTTCACGCTGGCCCAATTCAGATTTTAGGGTATTCACGACTGCAAATGCAGCCAGGACCAACGCCTCAACGTGCCTTCCGATGCTCGAGATAATATTTTTTGGTCACTTATCCCTTGACCGGCCCTTGCAAAAGTTGCTTAATAACAATGATCGCCTATGGAATGTTTTTCTGGAAGCTGTTAGACGTTCCCAAACTCTGGTTAGATACAAACAAATGGTCAAGGAATATTATTCTTCTAAATTATTCATTCGTACTCTATTCTTTTGACGGTTGCCTGTTAGAGATTACTGTTATGTGATAAGGCACCGTTCGTATGTTTTGTATTCTGTTTTATTTTTTTTTTCATTTTATGTGTGTAATAAAGAATTACGTATCAAAAGTTTAAAATACACAGCAAAAAAGTAATTAACTGAACTAATTAAGTTAAGAAATATAGTAATGAGTAAACTTGTAATTTTATTTATTACTAAAACTAATCATAAGAAACAAAAGCTTGTTGAATTTTATGAAACCACAACTAAATTTACTGCTGTAGTTTTAATGAGCAGTAATCAAGAGTTTACGAAACTAATTAATTATCATATCTAATAATCCAGTTCACGATACGAACGCTTGCGAATGAGCGACACGAGACGGGACGATGAATGATTATAAAGGATTTGTTGTAGGTATGTAAGGAGGATTTACGAGAGATTAAATTTTTGTATGTGTTTTATAAATTTCTGTGTGAACGGGCGAAGTTTCATGTGTAGATACACATTAAACAGTAAACAGAAAAAATTGGTTAGCAATATACAAATTTTTCCCTTCGGTGACAACATTTAAATATTTAAATTGTCACTTACATATATTTGTGAACATTTTCAGGTTCATTTGAATACGTAGTGAACAAATGGACCTACCATTAACAGAACACGCTAATTGTCAGATGGGTACAGTAGGTATAAAGTGTTTACTTATATCTTCATTTTTTATCCTGATATTATCAGGTTAAAAAGAGAGAGAGAGAAGCGTGATTTGTATACTGATCACAACTTTTGCCTGTATATTCCTTTACGCATGGGTACAAAGGAAAGAATTTAGGTCAATAATTAAATAAAAATTCTCAATGTCACTCAGTGATCCGTCAATATAATTCATTGATTGTCAGTCTGTCGTTTAATAACGGGGCATGTTGAATCCGATTGCTCTCAGTTCTGTATTTACGATTGTGCTTGATGAAAAGGATATTGTATTATTTTTAAGATGTATATCTGAATGCTACACTTATTTATTGGAATAATGTGGATATGTTCTGTTCTAGCCTTAAGCGGGCTAAGGAAATAGATAAACTGTTATTTATTTATACACTTCAAAGCACATCAAAATTTTGTTTTCTATATTAATATTATAAAGAGGAAAGATTTGATTGTATATTTGCATCGAATAGGCCCCGATTTTACTCTGGGCGAATTTTACTAATGTTAGCGTAATTATAGAAAGTCGATAGTGCTTCACCTACAATCCTGTATAACACAGTTCCACAATATTGGTCATCGTCGATTTGTGAGGAAGACATTGCATTAACAATATAGGATGTCAGGTAGAAAGGGAAGGGAGGGCAAGATGGAAAGAGTGGGCAAGGTTCCATAACAGACAAAATATGTAATCTGTCGCGGGTGCTGCTACGCGCAGAGAGACGCGTAGCTGAGTGTTATTTACGAACGATATTTATCCGATTCGCTGCAGCCAGTAAAATGTACAAGTTATGTTTATTATATGGAAAAATATTACAAAGACGTCAAATTTCTCTGCATTGATTGCTAAAGATAAGTAAGAAATAAGACTATTTTGCTTTGAGAGTAAATATATAC